CTTCTCTCCCTTTGCCTTGAAAAGAGTCAAATAAAGACAGTGATTAAAGTTAAATAGAAGAATGTGTCACTGAAGTCATCTTATGTCGTTTGTGAAAAACTAATTTAATTTCCATTATCTTTGAAAACAATCAATTAATGTTTGTTTATTATTTAATCATTTAATCATTAGGTTAGCTGAATGAAGGCAAAATGTAATAAAAACATATTAGCAGGAATTAGTTAGGAGTAATGTAACCAGAAAGTGAAAGGTCAGTTAATTGTCTGTGTTTGGGGGGAAAAAGAAAGCTGAATGAGGATTACTTCAAGGTGCTTGAAGGTAACTTTTTTTAGGTCGGGTCTTACCACGCCATTGTACACATTTCATTTCTTACTGGGAAATAATAATTGTCTGGAGTTTACGGATGGCTGAGGCCAGGCTAGGTCGGGTCTAATGAGAAGGGGATATTCCTTTCTATTTTTTGATTTTTTTTCCCAGTTACTGATGTGTGTGTGTGTTTGTGTGTAAGAGGAAAATATTTTATATATATAATATATAGCAGCTAATGAAAGATGTGTCTTATTGCAGGCCCCAATGTAGCCTGTTGAGGTATATTGCAGAACTTCACTCGACCATTAGATGATGGACTTTGTTGTGGCATCATACTGAGTGGTTATGGGTCCAATCCTCTGTGAAAAGTTTTTACATAGCTATCCTTGTCTGGGTGGGTTCCTTTCGGGCATTCCATTTTTAATGTACACATGCAAGTGATGTACATGATGCCTGTGAACTGCTGCAACCATGATCTGATTTTTCTAGTGCTAATGATGCTTTTTATATTTCTTGTAATGTCAATACTCTCATATGACAGTCATCATCAAAGTCAGTAGAACTCTCCTCCACTTCTGATCCAAAACTGCCTCTTGACATTACTCAACTCCTTCAGTTTGTTTGTGTTAATAGGACTGAGAAAAGAGAGAAGCAGTGTTATTTGTTTCTTGAAGACCTCAGGATGCCCATTCAAGTCAAAGAGAAGCACTTAATAACACATGCCACAAATTAGCCATGTGCCACAAGCACCAATACGGACCAGAACTAGTGGACTCATTCTAAACCGCATAGATTGCATAGGCTGTCAGTGCGACTTTCTCTATGATCCTTTGTACAATTTGAGCGGTTAAAACTTTTAAAATGAAAATGAAAGTATGAATCTATAGAAAGCTCATTTCAAAGATACAAAAAACACCCAATGGAGAAGTTGGGAAGCTGAGGTGGCTACCCACCATGCTGTTGATGTGACAGAGAAGCAGCTCTACGCCAAGCTCCTCCATTGTGACTGAGCTCTTCAGATTGTTTCTAAGGGAGCACCCAGCCACACTGAAGAGGGAAACTCATTTAAACTGCTTGTATCCATAATCTTGTCCTTTTGATCATTACCCAAAGCTCATAACCTTAGGGGGCTTCTGAATGTAGGGCTGCTGGTTTTTGTTGATGGCATCTTAGTCTACCAAATGTATCAGTTGGACAGTTATTTCATTTAAAAAGTAAAACATTTACTGCAAAAATAAAAGCGTATGGAGAAAATATGCGGATACATTTGTTGGTTATTCTATGCAGATAAAACTCATGTAAACACAATTGAGTCAAAGTGCAATTAAGGGATGTCAAGGCTGCTATTATTCAAAACCTTTGCCCACTACTTAAAATAAGAATTACCAAATAAGAAAAAAGGTTCCATTTCAAGTTAACTAAAATGTATTTCTTATTTCAATTTTCAATCTTATTGTGTTTTCACAAAATCGGTAACATTATGCTTGCTTTGCTCAAGAATGGTATACTTTATTTTTTTTATTTTTTATTTGTTTATTTGGTTGGGACAGTACATGTTAATAAACACATCACTCCGGATTGTAGCCATGGGCTAATTTGCCTCCGTTGTCCCACATTCGCACTCACAAACACTCACTCATTCACCCAGAACGATTGCACATGTTTTTAGTGGTAGGGGAAACCGGAGTACCCGGAGGAAACCTACGCAGACACGGGGAGAACATGCAAACTCCACTCAGAAAGACCCTGTTCCGACCGGGATTCGAACCCAGAACCTTCTTGCTGAGAGGCGAGAGTGCTATCCACTTTAGATACATTTTCTTAGTTCTTTTTCTTACGTGTTCAATAATGTTATGATTCTTGTTGCTAGTTGTTGCCGTCTCTCTGACCTAGAAAACTTGTGAGAACTGCTCCCTTATTGTTCAATATTATCATTTTCTCCCCTCTTATGATTTGCACACATGTGAATGCATTATTTCATTATAATATGATGCTTTTGGAGTCTGTCCAATCTTGGAAGGTTCCTCATATAATTTCTACATTGCACCAAGGGGACATTAAGGACCTCTTTAAATAAATCTGCAATCACAAACACACTTTCTCAAATGTCCCGTGACAGTCATGGCTGAGGGATGCTGGCAACAGGTGTGGAGCTGAGACACTGTTGTGACAAAGCTGGCGAATAGAATCTCAGTGAAACAGTGTGAAAAATAAACTAGGTTGGATGCTGTGCAAAGTGCGGTGCAGATACTGTCTCTGAGGTGGAAGCTCCAGTGCAGCTAATTAACCCCAGGAAATAATTGCAACTCTTTCTAATGGTGTGTAGGTAAATTGTGCCACCATACCAGGAAGTGTGTCAGTCACACACCTGTTCTCAAAAGTTATTGTCGGAATTCTAACTCAAGCTACAATATGCAACATGGCAGTTGTTTATGTGTAATCTGTTTGACTGTTTTTAGAGTGTTTGGTTATTTACTTATTACAATATCAATGTTAACTGTAGTAAAGTTATATTTTATCTTCCCTCGAAAGGGGATTTCCACACCTGGTTTGTTTTCAGCCAGTCTTCCTGAGATAAAAGCCACATTTGTTTTTATTTGGTCCAGTTAATGATTATTTGTTCACTATGTCACCCTTATGGGGAATGATGGGGGCTGTGGTCTAATGGTCTAATGCAGTATGTTCTGTTGACATAGAGGTTAGACGAGGAAGACTTCAAAGTACTTTGATGTCACAGCCTTTCAGACAAACAGTGAGCGCACACACGCACACACAGACACAAGCACGCGCATGCTAACATGCAATCACTGTGAACTGTGCACATGAGGGGCAGGGCAGAGCCAAGTTGCTGGCTCTTGCATCACATTCCATGGAGGTGGTGGTTGCTGACACTACAACCCTTTCATGCTAATCTCCCAGTAAACACAAACACTCTGACAGGTTAATTTACCTCTAAACAAACATGGCAACAAAAACACACATCAGCACATAATCAAACGCAACAACCGTGAGCACACTTACCTACAGGAACACTCAATTACAAATATTTTTGAATGACAAGATTTGTTAAAAAGATCTGAATGTGTGTTTCTTGACAAAACCGATTAGATTTCTTTGATAGTGCACTCATCAACACAATGTTCCATAAGACCCTGCGTTGTCCATTGATTAAAAAGAACAATAGTTTTGAACTATCCATCAATGTTCTTCCCCTTTATCTGGGGCTGAGTCACAGAGGAGACTGGGCAGTGGTCCCCTTTGCAGGTCATCAGACTAGGCTCAGTCAGGCTCCAGTGGGCCCCGGCTGTTCCATACCGGCTGATAATATTCGGATCCAGGCAACATAGCTTTTAGGATCATCTGGGAATGCAAACCCCCCCCCCACACACACACACACACACACACAGTTGATCTAGAGATATTCAAAAAAAAATTTAAAGAATACAAAAAACATCAATCTGTTAAGTAATTGATTAAGATAATTAATTGTTTGACTGTATTGAAATAATTACCAAATAATGTATTTAACTATGGATTAAAAAATGTATGTTTTATGTGGGCTGCATTTGTGGTCAATCTCAGTCAGATTGATGTTCGTCTTGTCTTGTACCTATATAAAGTTAAACATAAAAAATAAACATAAAACGTATAACAGGGTTGTATGTAAGGGATAATTTATATTACGCAGGTCATTATCAGAAAATAAGTACTGATAGGGCGAAGCGGACCCAGACCCGCCTTGAAGGTACTTATTTTATCCCTTACATATCAATCAGATTCTATGCAATGTGTATCATTATCCAGTAACGTATGCAAAAATGCATTGTGTTTTTTTCCAGGGTTGTTAGCTTCTAGGGTGATTATGTTATGAAGATAATACTGTGTAGTTATTATAACCCAGGTGTATCCAGTCCACAGTGAGGTCCGTCATACAGTGTAACCTCGTGTGAGAATGTGTTGTTGATTTCTATTGTAAACCAGACAGCTTGAAAGGAAATCAAAGTCTAGAATCAATGTCACAAGTTCATTAACGGATGCCCTTTTCTTTCCTGCACTTTTGCTATTGTTCTCCGAAGCCCTGGCTAAGTGCTTACCTGTGTGCTTAATTAAACATGTCTCGTGGCCATGCGGGTGTGTGGCCGGGCTGGAGTTGGAGACTGAGGACATATGCAGATGCAAGTGTTTGTGTGTCTCACTGCTGTTGCCTTTTCATTTGACCTTCCACTCGTGTGTTCCCATTATGCCTCCTCTGGCGTATAGATGGGCCATCGATTCAACAACAGGGAACAAATTAAGATTTAAACGTTGCGTCACCTCGCCTATTGAGTTTTACATTTGGGGCATTTGCAATATGCAAGGCTTATTGATTACCCAGAGCAAGGCTGTTTATGGAAATAACCTCTGGCCACAGCTTTTTTCCTTCTTTCATTTAAATCTGTTTTTTAATTTGTGATGACCCCGGGCTTGAGGTTTGCACCTGTAGCCTAAGCTGGATATCTCTCTTCACACACCTTTTTTTCAAATATCCAGCCAACTTTTGTACCATAGAGGCTGATCAGCAAATATGTCACCCTGTTCCATTTTATAAGTTTACTTTATATTTTTTATATGAATGCCTATATAAAATCAATGTATTTTTCTGTTCAGGTTCTACATAAATATCATTTGACATAAAATGCATTGTTTTGCAGGATAACGGCTCTTCTGAAGACCATGTGCTCTATGTGTGGGACCACTTTGTGTCCGGAGCTGCAGCCAAGAATGTCTTCATCATTGCCCACAGCTATGGAGGCCTTTCATTCGTTGAGCTGGTGAGTGATTAGCTAGCTTTTCCGTTTGTCCTTTTTATCTCCCATATGACAGGAAACTAAAAACAGAACAGTTGTCCATTAAGTCATTCGTACAGGCTTTATTGTATGTACACTTGCATTTAACATAGAGGGTGAAGAAGAAGTAGAGGAAGTTCCATACACATAACATGGCGAATTTTCCGTGCAGTGTTGTATTATTTACTTAACTGCTAGACAGTCTTCTTTGACAATAAATCATTAATATCATAGATTTCTGATATAATCCTCATTATCCCCTCAATATAGTTCAACAGTTCTGCTCTGGTCTTTTACCTGTTGCCAAGTTTTTCAATCACTGCAATGTATTACAATATCTCTTTCTATCAAGGAAGTGCTGTACAATAATAACTAAAGGGAAGCTTAAGGTAGCTACATGTCCCATTGGTGTTTTCAGGAATATTTTATTTATTTTCTTCCACCTACTCTTTTTTTTTTGTTTACTATTTTGTCATTTTAATTTTCCTGCTAAATATTCATGCAGTGTTTTGTCCGTGACAGCTCCGCAATCTCCAGGGCTTTCTCGCCTGTGTGACGGAGACTATCTACTCCTTCTATTTGTATTTTTTTGAATGCTTTTATTTCCTTCACTAAGACTGTTTTTTCCTTGCTACGCAGTACATGCAATACTTCTTAAATGTAACAATCATGCAGTTTTTTTAGCGCTTTCCAAAATAACTCAAAGATGCAAGATTTGATGATACGGTAGATTTAAATGCATGCAGTACATGTACAGTATATGTGGCTAAGTTGACAATGGTAAGGTACAGATTGAATGTATTAGCCCCTCAGTGTGGAAATGTCAGTGTAATTTAGAAGTTCATTGTTATTGGGGGTTTGAGGTCCAACCCGTGAGAGGTAAGAGTGACTGGAAGAGCTTATGGAGTATGTGTGAATTTATAGTCAATTGGATCCTGAAGGTTGAGTTATTAATTTCCCGTTTTGATTGATCATTTGGCATTTTATTGTTTTAGAGGCATGACGGCGTATATACTGATTATTATAATAATCAATGACACAAGCAGAAACATGCACACAATATAATTGTGAAGAAAGCAGTCCACAGGGACAGCAAAGGGGCATGTGCGCATGAGCAGAAGAGTGGAGTCTTGCAGGATGAACCATTTGACACATGAGAAGACCCAGAGAAAACAAGCTGTCTGTGGGTTAATTACTACTCCCCTTTGCAGTTAATAAATACATTTCTGATCAAGCACATCAAAAAGGCCAGCCATTAATTTTTCCTGCTCGCTCCCTTGCTCCAGAGCATGTTAGCCCCGGTTTGGAGCACTCAAGTGTTTCATTGCAATTTGATTTCTTTTAAAACACTTCACAGTGTGTACTGACTAATTATAGATACATCAAAGAGGAGCTAACTGCCTTTAAACGAGAGTGTGAGTAGGAAAGAGAGCCTAGCTCCAGGCTTCTCTTCCGCTGCTCTGCTGCACTATTTACCCTTTTCCTGGTTTCTTCCACTTTCCATTGGATCTTTAAATGTACTGTAGGTTCCCATTTTACTGCATATACTTTTTTATCCTTATTACCTTTGTTGCTTGATTCCAGAATAGGCTTTCTTTCTGTGCCATAGAAGGGGAACGAGTTGTCTTTAGGCAAGATCCTTAACCCACACTTTCTTCTCCACGGGCGGTAAATTCATGTTCATGTAATGTTGTCCTTCCATGAGACTCCATGAAAAGTGTTTTGTAACTAAAAGAATAGTCATACACAGAAGTATTTTGCGGCCAAATGTGTATGCACTAACTAACTATCACTAACGATGGGCCAGAGGCTTCGTGAATGTCTTTGGGAACATTGTAAAAAAAACATTCTCCTTTCCCCCGATGAAAATCATGTAATCTGTTAAGTAAGGCCCAGCTTTAAATTGGCCTTAGACCATAATATTATTGCAGTGCTCTGGTCTTTATGTGCATGTTTATCTGTAAGAAAACTTATTTGACAGTGTCTCAGTGTCCAGTCTGAGCGAGATGTAAAGAAATATGACTATGTGTTATATGTAAACCTTACATAAGAATGTTTATGTGTGGATACCTACCATCCAGTCCAACAGCCACCATGTTAGACACACTATAAAACATGTTTTTAAGGTGAGCAAACAGTATTTACAATTGTGCATTTTAAGAATGTCACCATCTGTTTGTGACTATAATGAATATGGCTGGATTTAACTGTTTTGATGTTCTGTATGTGTCTGCTGAGACTCGGTGTCAGATGGGGAAGGTATGCTTGAGGTAAAGACAGATATAGAGGATATCTCTGTCCTTGTGGACTGCATGATACTATATAGCGTTGTGTGGGGGATCAAACACCCGACGCTGAATCACTCAAAGTAGGAGAAGTTTCTTTCTCTGAGCCTCCGGTTTTTAACCAGACTTGCTAATTAAAAGTTGTATAAACAATGTTGTTTTTAAACAAGGTTAGCTCAACTTTCTGAGATCATCCATCAGCTCTGAATGATTATCAAAATGCAATAATATATATATTGTATTGTATTGAACAATGCGGGTGAATGTGACATGTTTGTTCGATGCTTGATTCCATTATATTACTGAGTCTAAGGTCCAAGGCGACCTTTATGGGAGACTGCTGGGAACAGCAGGTGCCACTGTGGCTATATAGTGTGAAACTTATGTTGTGCCTTGAGGCAAGACACTTGAAGGATAGGTGGTAGCTTGACACCACTGTGTGTGTAGTGAAAGAGTGTTGTGCTACAGTATATTCAAATTCAGATTCATTTATTTGCCATTTGCAGTAAAACCACATTGGAAAAACTGTGCAAGACTACCCCAGTGTGCACCAGACAGAGAGGACGGCACACACCAGAGCTCTTGCCACATTATCATTGTGTCTGGTTGAATTGTAAGTTGAACATAAGACTTACTAGAGATGCTTTCACACCGCCGACGCTGGAACGCTGACGCCTCGTGCGACGCACATTCTCAAATTTTCAGACGCATGGGTCTTCAGACCAGATGTCCTGGGCTGCGGTGGCACCCGCCGGAAGTGGCGGAAGTAGCGGGCGGACTTTGATGCTAACGGAGTTAAGCTAGCGGCTTTTTGTGTAAAGTTCTTCAGCGTCTTTGTGTCCAGAGACCTTCCAGAGACTTTATATAACAGCAGTATGTGTTCACAGTGGTGTGCCATATGTTTATTTTATTATTAGACGGTACTTCCGCATTGGCAAAAACGATCGAAGCAGTTGCATAAAGTCATGGGAGCATGAAAACGCATATGTTCACAAGCACTATGTACCCCATTGTCAACCCTGGTTTAGTCCTGGTGTAGCCCCTGTTTTGGCTGTTTACGAGTATTTTCTGTCTGCTCGCTCAGACCACTAATGTCCCCGTGACCACTTTGCGGCTCTCTGATTGGTCGCTGCACAAGCGTCCCGAGGAAACGTTTAGCAATATTTATCTCCTGCGTGCCTTGATTTTTCGCTCCTGTGCCTCTGCCGCGCAATCCGTGCGTCTCTACCGCGCAGTCCATGCGTGTATCCAGGCCGCACATGCAGTTTGACGCTCAAACGCGTGTCACCATTGACTATGCATTGAAAGTCGACACAACGCATGATCCGGTGTGAACGCGGCATAAGGGAGTTAATGCAATTCTATGGTCATTTATTCATTTTAAGTATATAAAACCATCAGGATCTAATGTATTTAGTTGTTGATCTAAATTCGAATCTCCTTTTTTGTCTTGCACACAGACGGTTGCTTTTACTTAAAGAAGCTATACCCGATATTTTTTCTAAGTAGTTCATAAAAATGCTTTTTACTACATACAAGTTGTATCATAATACATCATTTAATTGAAAACTTGAGGTAATTGATTCAGCTGTGTAAGAATTACAAGCAGTGAGAAGTGCTGAGTAGAGTCTGAGCGGGACGCTCGTTCTCCTCCGCTCACAGAACAAGAAGCGACCAGCCTGCGTCCTCTAGCCCCTACAGTAGTAGTAATCTTTATTTATATACCGCCTTTTCACTCCAGATCGGAGTCTCAAAGCAGTTTACAATTATTTTTGGGCATTAATCTCTCACTCCTCACAGAGATGGGAGCGGGGTCGCCAGTACAGGAGGCGCATGCCATACCTATTGTACATGTTTTTAGTGGTAGGGGAAACCGGAGTACCCGGAGGAAACCTACGCAGACACGGGGAGAACATGCAAACTCCACTCAGAAAGGCCCTGGTCCAACCGGGATTCGAACCCAGAACCTTCTTGCTGAGAGGCGAGAGTGCTATCCACTCTGCCACCGTGCCGCCTACAGCGCTGCTTAACACCAGGGCTTCGACTTCAAAATTTGAATATAATTCAAAAATAAAAAATGATGAACAAAATAATTGGATAAAAAAATGTGAACAAATATTAGACAACCCTTGTAATTCGAAATGTATTTAATGACTGCAAATAAAATAGTTAGCTCCCAAAGGTTTCACCGGGACGTGTTAGGCAGGTAACAGCTAAGCTAGCTAGTTGTTTCATGGTAACTTCCGGGTTTTTCGCAATCGCCTTTTGTCACATTGAAACAGTATTTTTGTCATGAAAACGTTTTCAGCAAATTCTGAAATCATCCGTGCATGTGTATTAAGGATGTATATGTATACTGTATTGTCCGATTGACGTTTAATGGTGTTGATTAATAGATATGTAGTTGTTTATTGAGCGTGGCTAGCTCCGCTAGCTCCGTTGGCTTCTCTACACAGACGAGTGATAGTGACAGGTGCTGATAGCTTGTTCTTGCAGAGTAATGGCAGTATTTTACACACCTGAATTACAAACAGAGGTTGCATTGGGGCTTCGGTCATTATTGGTTTGAGAGTTCTGTTATCAAGAAAAAATGATCGGAAGAATTGCTGCTGCTGCTTTGAGGAGCTCTATAACACATTATAATTAAATATTAGAATATATTCTAAGGTTTTAAATTAATACATTCGGACGCGAAACTAG